GGACACGCATGCTCACATGCCCGGCGTGAGTTTCAGCCACCGGGTCCGGGACTTGAACCACGGTAAACTACATGGGAGCCCAGCAACAAAGCCATTATGCCAACTGCTGGTCTCTCAATAAAGTATGTTAAATGTTACCCTTATCAGTGTTCACTTATGATTCACTATCTCTAAATTCTTTTTATGAGCTATCTATTGAATCAAACTTATTAGCTATGAAACATTTTTCCTGGTATTACTAATTTATCATAGAAGCCTTGACAGGAGGCTTACAAAATTGGATTCAAAATGGCCTTCCTCACCCCCTTTTGTTTATTTTATATTTTAAATTTTATTGTAAATTTACAAATAATAGTTATGCATATTTATGAGATACACTATATATATATATATATATATATATACACACACACAATATGGAATGATTAAACTTATTAAAATATCCATAACCTAAAACACTTATTCTGGAAGACATTATCATTATGCTAAGTGACACAAGCCAGGCACAGAAAGACAGATACCATATGATCTCACTTACATGTGGAAACCACGCCTTTCAAACTAGAAGTCTCTTTACATCTAGGCTTTCAAAATTACTTAGATGAATCTGCGTTTTTGTACCTTTCTCATCATATAGTTTATATTATAACAAGTGATATTTTATAATGTATATTAAATTAATCAGTATATTTTTCCCTTAAAACCTTCATATTATGCTCAGCAAGCTGGACACTGTGAATGACCTAAATAGGTTTCTTTACATGGCTCTTTTTTTGCCACAAATCCAAAACAATTATAGACTCCAATTCTTTGTGTATACAGTTCTTTAGTCAAAAATTGATCACATCGTAGGTGAAAAGTAGCTATCAGTGACTTCCTTTACCATTCAAATGCTTAAGTAAGCCTTTGTTTAATTTACACTTCCTTAACAGTGTAATAATGTTTCCTCACTCTCCAAAGATTTTCAGCATCACCCAGACACCATCTGGCTATATCAAGAAATATGCCTACTTAAAATCCAATTGACATGCAAACTACAAACAGAATTTAACAGCCCATTGACAATTTTAAAATATATAATTCATCAAATATTTCAAATGGCTATGAAGGACATAAAAGTCACACTTTTAGATCCTGACCTGCAATAACTAACCACCAATTGACTATAATGCCCTTGACTCTAAGCTAATATTTATATTTATAGGCCAGTTTAACAGTTACTGCCACATGACTTTCACATGTAAAGCATATGCAAACACTGAATTATGTAAGTCAATCTTTTCCCAAAGCTCAAAACATAAAAGTAAAAATCACTGATAGTACACAGCACTCTAGTGATCTGGTTCACTTAGTCACATGCTAGATATAGACATAGACTTTTAATAGTATGGGAATGAAGACAAATCTCTCTTTAAAAATAAAAAAAATGGGTCATCTCTTTCCTGAGAACCTCCAAGACATCATGTAATCCAATGAGCACCATTTCTAATGCATCTTGGCAGTTCAGTAACTTCTGTCATTTTTACTTAAGTGCTTGGGACCACCTCCTCCTAGACATGAAGAGTACACACTTCAATAATTCTCTAATTCTCCCATTATATCCCACACTGATTGCTTCCAAGTTACATTGACCTTTGTACTATCTTGCCATTGCTACAGTGACTGCCAGGCACGACTCCCTTCATACCAGGATCCTGTCTCCATGACTGGACTTCTTATGTCTTTCATTTGCCTTTCTAGGCTAATTTTAAGATTTCCGTCAACTACTTCCTGCCTCTGGAATAAAATGTACGCTCCTTGATTTCATATGAAATTGACTTCCTAATTTGAATATCTCATATTACTTGGTGTATGCTCTATTCTTTCCACATTCAACTATTTGTAGTTCTCTACAATTTTAGTTCACCTTAGCCTTTACATATGTTGATGCATTTTTCTGGAGTCTTTCTAACCTAAATGTTTGCCTATGGTAAAAGTTTCCTTCCTGGTGGGACCAGCAGTTAGCATAACAGCTATGTCGCTGGACTCCCATGTAGTTGACCACGGTTGGAGTCCCGGACCTGGTGGCTTAAACTCATGCCAGGCATGTGTGCGTGCATTCCCAAAATCCTGAGAGGAGAATGGAGGAGAAGGGATTGCGGCATGGCCATCCCCCCTGGGGGCTGATTTCTCGCTTTCTGTCTCTCTGTCTGGCGAGTGCACGTGCCCTATAGCAAAAACCTCTCCAAAAACAAAAACAAAAAAAATTTCCTTTCTGGCACCAGCAGGTGGTGTGGCGGTTAAGGCGCTGGACACTCCCCCATGACCGACCAGGGCTGCTAGTCCTCGAACTGGGAGACTCTGTGTGTGTGTGTGTGTGTGTGTGTGTGTGTGTGTCTGGTCACATTAAAATAAATGAATGAATAAAATTAAATAAAATAACTTTTAAAAAAGTCTCCTTTCTTTTTAAAAATGTAATACTCTTTATTTTCAGAGCAGTTTTAAGTCTAAAGAAAAAAATGAGCAAATATTACAGAGAATGTCCTTATACCCCAACTCTGCTTGCACCACAACTCTGCTTGCATACACATGTCCTTCTTATTAATATCTTACATTAATGTGACATATTATTACAACTGACAAGTAAATATTCATAATTAGAAGTAACTACAGTTCTTACTTAGCAATGAAGTTCACTTCAGGTTGTACATACACATCTAAGTTTTTTTGTAAATGTCTCATAATATGTGTCTACCAATTTAGTATCATACAGGGTAGTTTTACAATGCTAAAAATCCTCTGTACTCTGCCCATTAACCCTCCCTCCTTCTTAACTTCCAAAAATCACTAATCATTTTTTTAGAGCAAGAGTTTTGCTGTAGGGCATGTGCACTCACTGTAGAGACAGAGAGACAGAAAACGAGAAATCACTCCCCAGGGGAGATGGCCATACCACAATTCCTTCTCTTCCATTCTTCTCTTGAGATTTTGGTCACACATGCACATGCA